GGTCCTAGGGATCGAACTCAGGCCCTTGTGCTTGTGTAGTGCTCCTTTTTTTTTTCTGTCCTCTCTCCTTCCTCCCCGCCGCAGGTACCTGGGTCTGGATTATCTGCTCCGTGTCTAGGGCTCAGGGTGACCTCACTATGAACCTGAGATGTCCTTCTCTCACTGATACACCCCACTCACGCATGGGTTCCTTCATTGTTTTATCCCTTTTTCGTTCAGTTTCATTTCGCTTTCCTTCTCTCTTCCTCTGACTCTACAGCTTCTTTCTTCTATCTCTTCCCTCTCTCTCAGGGACCTCAGCTGCCCAGAATGAGATGAGGGGAATCCCATGGGCCACTCTGTGTGGCTGCCCTGGCCATTTCCATTTCTGATTCTGTCTTTCACTTATCCATTCATTCTTTCTGCCACTCTTTTATTTCAATATTTATTCTTTTCTTTATGGGCCTCAGGTGTACATCAGTGGATCAACCATAATCTGAGGTTCCCAGAGCCATCTTGACACGGGTCCATGCGGGGCTCCGCTTTGTTCCCTAATTTCTTGTACTGCAGCTCTGGTCTAGGGTTTATTTAACTATCTCAGCAGCCCAGTTTTGAATTAGTCATGATTCTTGCTTCCTTTTCCTTTTTTATCCCTGTATGGCCCTCTCTCATGCATATTTATGTATGTATTTATGCACTCGATATGTTTTTATTGCTTGTATCCATCTATCTTGTCACAATTTTCTATATTCCTTCCTTTCCTGCTTCTTTCTTTGGCAGTCTCTTATTCAGGTGAGACTTGGGTGCAAAAGGGAATGATTTAAAACATTTCTCCTTCATTTATGCTCACTCCCTAATTTATTCTTTGCTTGTGATATTTGCTCTCTTTTATTGATGAACCCTCACCATGACTATTTGTTACATTTAATAAATAACATTCACTCGTTATATTCAAATTCTTATCCAGGAAGTGCTTTTCCTTCTCTGTGTCTATTCATTTTTTTCTACATTTTTCCTCCACTCATTCCTTCCGTTTTTCCAGCTCTTTTCCTTGCACCCTTACGGAGTACAGACATTTCTTCTTCCTGACTTTCACCTGCACTTATTTTTCTTATTAGGTATAGTCTTTAGGGCCACAGTTTTGCTTGTTGGTTTGTTTGTTTGTTGTTTTGTGGTACCAGGGCCTCACACATGCCAGGCAAGGCGGCACTGCTGAGGTACACCCCTACCCCGGGCCCCAGCTCCGAATTCACATGGATGACTTGTGCATTTTTTCCCATCTGATTGTTTCTCTCGATCACTGTCTTATCCTTTTCTTCTGCAGATCAGTACCCGGGCTCAGCGGACCCTCGCCTGCTGTAGGACACCCCCACCCCCACTGATGAATGCAAATCTTTTTTCTCATTCATTCATTCATGCATTCATGCATCCATTCAGCTTTCTTTCTGTGTAATACTTATTTCCACACTTCCAGACAGCAGGTGCCCTAATTGCGCACATCGTGATCGGCAGTGACCACCCCCCCGCCCAGGCACCATGCTGGACCCCTTCCTGACGCATCTACGCTCTGAGCCGCTTCCTCGTTGGCTGGGTACTGGTCCACCCCAGGAGCACAGATGTGAATTAACCACACAGCCTTTCCTAGCATGGCGTCCTCTCTCGCTCTCTCTCTCCCCCATTCATCTACATTCTATTAATATACCACCTTTCTTGTTTTTAGCTAGTCTTGTAGTATTTTTCATTCTTTCTCCTTCTCCATCTTCTGTGTATTCTCTCATGGCTGGCTCTCAGCTACCATGGACAGATGCCTCACAAACCCACCTGCAAGCACCTGTCTTTGACCTCTGCAGCTCCTCAGTCATTCACTAATTCCTTCCTTCCTTCACTCATGCACATCATCCTTACCGCCTTCCTTCTTTCTCTACAGGAAGCATTCAAGTATTCAGCCCTCCCTGCGTGGAATTAGGTGCTCAGACTGGCTCCCGGCCCTCACACTCCCAGATCTACCCATTTATCTCTCTAGTAGCTTGTTATCTTTTTACTGTTCCTGTCTGTCTCTCTCCTTCCCTCCCTCTCATTATAGCTCTCCATGCCTCTGGCCTGTCTCGTTGCCTGGTCTGATTTTCACAGAGCTGGGTGCACAGATGGGACTAATTACACCACCAACGCCCTACCTGAGACCGGCTCCTCACCTCCTCTGTTTCTCTTGATGCTCCCTGCTTTGCTCCTTTTGCTTATTTGGTCCACACCGCTGTGGCCAGGACTCGGGATGACCTCTCACCATTGACCTCTTCCTGTCTTTCATGTCTGTATTTATTCATCCATAATGTATTTCTGCGCTCACATTTTCTTATTTCTCGATTTCAACACATATTCTATTTTGGTTTTTCCTCCTTCTTATGTCCTTTCACCTGAAAGATCTCAGTTCCCAGACAAAGCGACTCAATAGGCCTGAGGCCCTCTCCCCAGCCCAGAATATACACATTTCTGCTGTTTGCTCACCTATACTATTTTTTTTTTTTTGCTTTCTTTCTTTTTATTTCTGTTTACTTATGTGAAAACTTTGGATGCCCAGACTAGTTAACTTTTGGTTAAAGTACACTCTCATTTCTAGTGTGCCACATCCTCCTCCTTTTCTCACTCTTCTTTGAACTTATCTTTCTACACCAGGAGAAAAAGTAACTTTAACTTTAACACCTGCCTTATAGTGACCAGATATGGTCTTCCTTAGTTACACATTCCCTAGTACTTGTATCTTTCTCCCTTGTTTTTGCTTCTTTTCCTCTTCCTTCTCCATTTGATCTCTTATTCTTCCTGCCTTGGATTTTTCTTTTTTTTTTTTTTTTTTGGTACCGGATATTGAACTCAGGACCTCCTGCTTTTGAGGCAGGTGGCAGCACAACTAAGCTAAATCCCTGTTTGATTCCCCAGTGGGAAAAACAAAATAAAACAGGGGGCTAGAGATGTAGCTTAGTCGTAGGACCTACCATGTGTGAGGTCCTGGGTTCGATCTGCAATACTGAAAAAAAGTCATCCTCGGTCTATGTATTTCCATTTCTTATTCACGCTCTCTTTTATTTGGGCTTTCTTCTCTTATTAACAAACTTCAGCAGCCTATATTTGAGTGACATACATTCCCTAGTCCTCAATAAGCCATCTCAGTTTGGATATGGCCCTATGCACTTACTGTCTAAAGATCTTACTGACTTTATCTGTTGATTGCCTGTGCATGATCAGCGTACTCCCTCACGCTGACCTGCTAACTCCTGTCCCCATTTATGCTTCCTCAGTCCTTCCTGGTTTGCTCATTCATTCATCTAATCATTTAGTACACAATGTAGTCGATATCTGGGAAACAGCCTCCCAACAACAAGAAAAGCACGACCCTCGCAGTGCCCCAGACCTTCCCACTTCTCCTGTGTAGCTCATCACCAAGGTGCACAAACCCACAGCCCAGAAACACACACATGGCTCAGGCAGAGACACGGTGAATGTTCCTTTACTACCAGGTCCTCCCGGGCTCCCCTCCCAGACAGCCTGGGGTGGGTCGGAGACTGGGGCCCCCAACCCCAGGCCCCTTGGCAAGGCAAGCATTTCTCGCTCTCCCCCTGGAGCCCCACAAATGGCCATCCCTATGAGAAGCCCGTTTCAAGACCCCAGAACACATAGACACATGCTATATAGCCTTCCTGGTGGGAAACGACGCACACAGTTCATTTGTAAATAGGTAGCTTTGTCTGTAGCAATATAAAAATATTTTGGCCTTTCAAGGCAAATACAAAAGAAATTCCCCATTACCATCCCTGAGTGTCCCAGTCCCAAACAATAAAGAACTTGAAGAGGTTTAGCTGGAAACTTTAAAGACAGAAAACCTGCCCATTATGTTTCCCAGACATTTCGAGGAGGTGAGCACAGGTCAACGGAACGAAGCCTGTTTGAGGGACAGGTCCTTCCATCCTCATCTGCCCCGCCGCACGAGAGCCAGAGGGGAGAATCAATGATGAAAGAGCCATTCATTGAGGAGAGTGAAAGAAGAAATTCTTTGGGGTCCCACACTCAAAACTGCCTACAGAATTCTTTGGCCACAGAGACAACAGCACGAGGGGCCGGGGCTCCTGTCTCAGAACATGAGCCCAGGTCGATATCCGCCTGGCAGTGTGTGTGCTGGGCCAGGTGACAGCCCCCTCTGTCAGCCACGAGTGTGCTCATTATACTCTGGCGACTTACGGTTCAGAGCTGAGGGGCACTGGGGTGCAGGCAGGGTGTCCACGGTCCTGTCCTCCACAGGATTCCTGGTGGTGGTAGCTTTGGCTGCAAGGAAAGAGCAGGAGATCACGGAAAGAGAACCCCAGCTGAGGGGGTGGGCAGGTGACCACTCTGCAGGGGTTAGGGGACTCCCCAACTCCAAACAGGTATGGAGTCTGGGACACCAAGCACTTCGGTCTACACTGACCACGGGGTCGGCGCGAAAGTTAGTGCTGCCTGCAGGCCAAAGGCTCCTCTGGAAACCACAGGTGAGGACCACACTGACACCGTGAGGTGGTGGCCCGCTCCCTGCCTCAAAGGTAGGACATGTGCTGCCCTCAAGAAGAGCCAGAAGTCCATCCAGGCCAAGCAGATGGTGCACTGGGCAGCAGGCCCCGGGGAGGCCAGCAGGCCACAGCACACACAAAGTAACGCCAGCCACGCTGATGGACAACTCCACCTCACAGAGCACATCTTGAAAAGACACCAGGAGGCACCAGGATCATGTCCGGCAAGTCTACAAATCAACCCTTTGCCTCACTGCAGATCCAACAGAATGAGGTCTGCAAGGTGCACACAAAATCCACAGCATGGGTAACGCAGAGAGTGGACGGTGTCGCCACAGACAAGGACTTTGCATGGGAACCAGGCCCAGTGCCACGTCACTGGCAAGAACAAATGGAAGGCAAGGCGTCCTCGAGAGGGGACTGGCAAGGGCAGGGGTGGGAAGGCTGTGTATTTTCTTCTCTTCTTTTCTTTTTTTGGTACAGGGATCGAACTCAAGTCCTTGAGCTTTCGAGGCACTCGCCAGAACCACTGAGCTAAATCCCCAGCCCCATCTTTTCAACTTTTCTTAAACTAAAAGCTACTTTGAAGGAAGAGGGCCATTAAAATAGTTGTTAAATGACTTGACTTCAAAAATCTATTCCTGGATTCAGGTAAAGCTGAAGAGATGAGTGGAAGCCAGGGAGATCTGTCACTCTCAAAAAGAAAGTACAAATGGCCAAGACACATGTGAAAAACATTCACCAGTTTCAGCCATCATAGAAACGAAATGCAAATCACAACTGTCGCACCAGTAAGAATGGCCACCATCAAAACTACAAAACGCAAGCTGGGTGTGGTGGCACACACCTATAATCCTAGCACTTGAGAGGCTGAGGCAGGAGGATCACTGTGAGTTCAAGACCAGCCTGGGCTACATAGTGAGTTCCAGGTCAGTCTCAACTACATAGTGAGACCCTGTCTCAAAAAACAACAAAAAAAAAATTACAAAACACAATAAATGCTGGCACAGATGGTGGGGTGGGACCCTGCTACACCCTCGGTGGGAATGCAGATTAATACAGCCATTACGGAAATCAGCACCAAGCTTCCTCAAAAAAATAAAACCAGAACTACTGCAGACCCAGCTATACCACTCCTAGGTACAATGTATACCGAAAAGATTAAAGTCAGCCTGCTACAGGGAGATGGACGTACCTAAGTTTACTGTGGCACAATTCACAGCAGCAAAGATATGGGACCAGCCTAGGTGCCCATCAATGGATGAATAAAGAAAATGTGGTAAGTACATGCAGTGGAGTACTATTCAGCCATAAAAAAGAGTGAAACTGAGTCACTTGCAGGAAAATGGAACTGGAGACCATGTTAAGCAAAATAAGCCAAGCTCAGAAAGACAAGTACCATAGTCTCCCTAATTAATGGACAATTTTTTGAAAAGACATGAAAATGAAAGGAAGACTATTATTAGATTAGAGGAAAGGAATAAAGGTGAGGGCCAGAGAGGGCAAAGGAAGAATGTAATGGGCGGTGGATTTGTATTAATTTTTTTGTTTTTCTGATGCAGGGTCTCACTATGCAGCCCAGGTTGGCCTCAAACCTGTGCCAATCCTCCTGCCTTCACCTTCCAAGTGCGAGGATCACAGGCATGCACTGCCACCTGGAGCTGATAAAACTTTTATTTGTTTTGTTTTGTTTTGTGTGTAACAGGGATCAAACCTGGGACCTTGCACTTGCAAGGCAGGTGGCAGAATCACTGAACTACATCCCCGACCCAAAACTTTGGTGGTTGTTGTTGTTGTTGTTGTTTTGGTTTGGTGGTTTGTTTTTGTTTTTTGGTGTTTTGTTTTGTTTTGTTTTGTTTTTGTATCAGGGATTGAACTCCGGTCCTTGTGCTGGGCTCAAAACTTTTAAATAATAAAAAGAAAATTAAAAAACAGAAAGGAGGCTCTGACAACGGGAGAAGGTGGAGGCCAGGGCGCTGGGGCCAGAAAAGAGCAGTGGCTGTTTGGAAACTGTTCTCTGGTGAGACACAGGTGGAGACAGGAGGTCAGAGGACCAGTGCAGGGGGGGCGGGCACCTGAGGGACAGAGCGGCAATGAGATGGCAGTGGGCTGTGACACAAAGGTACAGGCTTCCAGAGGCCTGTCCTGATGACCCTCTATGACCCTCTAGTGACCAGGGAGGAAGAAACACACCCTGGCTCTGCACCCCATCCCAACTTCAGCCCCTGGGGGATCCCGCTGCCACCGTCCTCTCTCCACCCTCAGGCAGGTCTCTGGCAGGGGTGACCAAAGCCCTGCCAGGGCACAGATGGGACATTTCATGCTTCCAAATCCTCCTACAAACTCTTCCCTTGGCTCTGCACTTCACAAAATACAAAGAATTCTTAAGAATGAGGGTCCACTGGGCAGCAGCCAGCTCCGGGGGGGACCCAGGGCAGCTCTGAGGCCTCAGGACCCAGTATGCTCTGAGGACCATGGAGACCATGCAGCCCACCCCAAAAGCCCCTGCACAGCTCAGGTGATCACAGCCCCAGCTCTGAGGTAATAATGGCCCTCCAGACCAAGGAGGGATGGCAAGACCGAAGCCCTGACATTATTTTCAGGAATAAGAACTGGCCCTTGGGTTTGTTGCTTCTGTTTTGATCTATTTCGCTCTTAATAGGAATTGGGAAATCAGAAGCAGCTAGCTCAGGATATCTGGAGGTTTTTCTTGCCTCTGCTCCAGGGACCCACCCCATGGACCCTCAGTCCTTCCAAGGGTCCTTAATTAACTCTCCATGCAGACCCCAGGCTGCTGTGCTGCAATACAGCCCCCACCCCCAGTCATGCCTTGGTTTCAAAGCTGCACGTACCAGCTCTTGGTCTGTCCTGATGTATTAATCAGGCAGTGCGGGGCTGGAATCTTAACAAATGTCAGAAAAGCTGCAGAGATGAGTCACTGTCTGGAACTAAAGGAAACACAAGGCCTCCTTATAGAGTCCAGAGGAGCAACTGTCCCCAGCAGCTGTGAGCACTGAGCTCACGACCCACGCAGAAAGTGCGGCAGACACACCACAGCCAGGCTTGAGGGCTTAGCGGGGTTAGAACATTCTAGCCCTGTGCTCAGAGATTTGAAAAGTTGCTCTCTTCTGGAAGTAAACAGGACCTGATTGATCCGGTACGTCTTGGTACAAATATCATATGGATGTTTCAAACAGAGAAAAACGTCAAAGGGTTATTTTTATTAAAATGTTTACTTCAAGAAATAAGAGCCGGTAATTACACAAATAATCAGCCTCGCCTCCGATCTCATACTTCCTACCTGTTGAGTAAATACTGCCCTCTCAGAACTTCCCCTGACAAATGTAAGGCTCTTGCAGAGCTGATTTCCTGTACCTTTGTGAGGCTCAGGCCCTGGACATTACGGGCCCATTTATGAAAATGGGAGAGGTAATTGGGACATCTTTTGAAACTGTGTCCCTCTGCAGTACCAGCACCCGCCCCCCAGGCCTCTAATTTCGGTTGGTCGGGTTACAGAGGATGTTTACATATGCTTCTTCCTGGAATTTCACCTCTTTGCTTCAGGAGTGGGCAATTAGAGAGAATTAGGGCCTATTTGGCGTATGTTTACCGTTAATGGATAGAGACTGAGGCAGCCTTCAAAAAGCAGTCTGCCGGTCTAATTGACGCTGGCAATCTTTTGATTCCTCATTTCAGCTCGCAGGTATTGTAGCAACCAAGGTCACAAAACAAAAGCTCCAGCCCACCATGGTAATCACCGGGCACAGGCCTGCCTGAAGGTCCTGGAGCTGCTTGTTCCTGAGCTGTGAGCAAAGGCTGGAGACTTCTGCAAAGCCGAGGACGTGGGCAGCCAGTGCAGGATGCCTGCCAAGCCCTTTTCCATCCTGACAGCTTCTACAAAGGTCCCAGCCGAGCAGGCTATGATGCCAACATGGGTGTTGCCAAGGTCTCGTGACCCAATGGCACACAGTGAGCCACTGGGGATAGTCCCGCTGGGCCACACCTTCCTGGGACAGAAGCCACAAGTTCTTATTACACAAGAGTCACTCTACTGCCCAAAAAGGGTTTCCAAGCCTGGCCAGCGGCCCACCAGCTTGGAACAATGATCCCTAACATGTGGTCCCTGCGCCGTGGGATGAGGGACAGCCCCTGGGTGCTTCCTGAGGTCCCTGGCTCTGACCTACATCAAGATCTATGTTCCCAAAAAGCTGGTGATGAGGACCTCTGGCTCATGGCTATGACCCACTGACCACAAGGTCAAGCAGGAGCTGGAGGCCGGCGCTGAACTCCATACTGCAGCCTGCCACCAGCTGGCTATGTGGCCCTGGGTGAGGCCCGGCCCGCCAGCATCTCCCTCATCTCCAAGACCCAGTGGTCAGACACACAAACCCCAGCCGAACCCCAGGAAAGCCTGAAGGAGCCCTGAGACCTACAGGGCTCCAAGGGCTGTCAGAGGACCACAGGCCTATACTCCCCATTTTGCAGATGGGAAAGTGAGGCCCAGAGGGCTAGAGACGGGGACCAAGATCACAGCCATAGCTGAGGGAAGACTCCGGGCTCTGAGGTCTAAAGTTGCTTTGTTCTGTTTTGGTTTTGCTTTGCTGGGATCAAACCCAAGGCCTTGGGCATGTGAGGCAAATGTTCTACCACTGAGCCACCTCCCAGTCCTCACACCTAGCCACGGTCTCTCCTCTGCCACCTGACAAGACACAGAAGTGGGCCTTCCAGGAGGCCAGTGGGGACAGACTGTCCTCTCCTCTGGTGAAGCTGCTTTGTACAGAACATGTAGAATTCACAGGCCTCTGGCTCATGTTACAGAAGGGGAAACTAAGGCCCAGGAGACCATAACAACAAACAAGACACTGACCACAACTGAGGCCTAGATGACTCCTTCCTTTTTCCTGGCAGGGGTATTGCAGAGTGGCCTGGGCACTGAAGGCAGTGGGGACAGAGGTGGCCCCCACAAGGTGCAGCCTCGAGGCCACACTGATGCTAGGAGTGAGTGTCCTCCTAACCATACACACGTGCCCCACGGATTCAGAGCACCCAGCTCCCCTGGCAAGGGTGACCCTGCCTGTACCCACCCCCTACGGCACGGCCGAGAGCCGGGGCCAGAAGGCCAATGGACCACACAGCCAAGCTCCCTGGTGGCCAGCACAGAGGCGCAGTCAAATCTTGGCCCCTGCCCTGTCCTCCTTCCCCAGCACCCCATCCCAGAGCTATCCCCTTGCCTCTGACTCCACGGCTATCATTCAGGCCTCGGGCCCAGTTTGATCAAACCCTTGTCTACAGGCACTGTCCCTGTGATGCTTCTTTCCTAAGAAACTTGCAGAAATCGAGCCCTGGAATGAACAGTACAGCATCCAGAGGGTCACACGAGCGGACCGGCTGGTTGCAGGGTCTATGCCCAGGGCCCCGCGGCCTGAGGGAACACACACACACTCCATTCCAGGAAGGTAATTGAGGTTTTCTTCTTTTCATCTGAAGAAAGGGCACCTTCCATTGACAAAGTGCATTCAGGGGACCTGGGAAAACTCATCTGCGGCTGGCCCTCCCAATTATCCCCAGGTGGCTGTGCTCTGAGGGGTTCCCCACATTCCTTTCTGCCCGGGCCTTTGTTTCCATCTGAAGGGGCCCTGCCAGCTCCCAGGCTAAGCCCCTGCCAAAGACCCTATTCACTGTGTAAAGAGACGCCAAGCAAAAGGTGGTGGGGAGCCTTCCTCCCCCCAGGCCCCGCAAGGGGAGCTAAGAACTCTCCATCTGCATTTTTTCTGAAGCCCAAAGAAACTGTAGAGCAATTAACAAAGTCACAACTATACCCTCAGACCGTCTTCTCCTAATTAATTCCTCTCTCACACACAACCCATTCGAGTTGGGGGGGGGCAGCCTCAGCCAAGCTCCAGCCTGCCCTGCACACCAAACCCCCAACCTTCTCCAGGGCCTGGGGGTGAAGGGAGACACCACTGTGCACCCCATGACAGTCTAAGTCTGGGTGGCCAGCCTTCTCAGGACTGGACAAAGGTAGAAGGGACTGGAAATTTCAGGGTGGTGACTCCCTCAAAGACAGGCCCCTTAGGTGCCGGGACACCGAGGAGGCCTCTCCTGGTATTGGTCTGTCCTAGCACTTGCCATAGAAGGCCCTCTTGTCCCTACTGTGCCCCCAGGGGTCCTTCACCCCACTTTTCCGGACTCTGACTCACCCACACCACAGAAGCAGTGCTGCCTGCTGTACAGCAACCCTTCCCTCAGCCCGGACAACAGCCCGGCCTCTTTGAAGTCTAGAACTGCCCTGTGTGATCCAGCCAGGTGCCAGAACAAGAGCCTCCCCTGCCGGAATATCACTCACTCCCTTCCAAAGAGGAAACCCACACTTCCAGTGGCTTCTTCTGGAAAGGCTCAGCTTTCCAGAATTTTCTGACTGCTCACAGTAGGATGGGAGAGCAAGCTAGATTTCCTGGCTGCTCCTCCGGGAGAGGGGACAGGGTTCAAAGTGGCAGGGGAAGGGGGGCTTGTTCATGGGACTTACACCGCCTCTAAATCCCAATCTCCTAACGAACATGGTCCCCATGCTCCCACACTCTCCAACACAGCTTCTACATGGTCCTAAATCGTCTTCTGCCTTTAAACAGGGACCCTCGATGTCTCCCTCCTCCTCCTTCTGTGTAGAGCTCCCTCCCTCTTTTCAAGGAAAGTTTCATTAGCAAGCTCATTAAAAGATGAGCACATTTTTTTTCCAATGCTTTTTGGAAGTCTGATTGCTCATAAAAACACACTTAGGTTACTTCGTATAAATGAACAAATACAAAACGCATGCATCCTGTTGTCCTCAAGTCTTGCCAGGCTTTGACATTATTTAGAGAAATGCACTTGGAATTTGGATCTTAACTCAGGAGCCATAAAGTCAGTGGCCCTAAAACCTGAACCAGGGACTCAAAGGTGGGATCTGACAGGGGGCTGCTATTCTTCTCAGTCTGCTAAGTTCCATTTGTTTGTTTTTATTTGCTTCTCTGTTCATTTTTGCCATGCTGGGGATAGAATACCGTGTGCTAGGTAAGTGCTCTACACTAAGCTGCAATCCCAGACCTCAACTAAACTGTTGATTCCCTCTCCTGTCTACCCAGGGGCTTCCAGGCCTGGAGATTTAGCTCAGTGGTTCTGCTGCCTGTCTCTCAAGTACAAGGTCCCGACGTCAAGCCCTGATACCAAAAAAATAAAAAGAAAGAAATTGGCAGCTTTACCCAGGGGCTTGCAGGTGAGACCACCATCTTTCCCTTCCATATGTATACCCCAAAGCCACTGAGAACAATGACAAATGACCAGAGACCCCACCCTGTGTTCCACTGGGGTTACCGGGTCCTCCGCTCCTTGCTCTCTGGCCATTCAGGGTCTCATTTCCACCCTTACTGTCTGGGGATTAACCCATGCATCAAAAAAGAATTCCCCTGAAAATGACCCTGTCTTTCAGCACCTAGCAGTATGACCTTTCAGTAACTCCTGTGGCCGTGTCTTTGAGGGTGACATAGTATGACGCTTGGTTCAGCCTCTCTAACTGAGAACTTGGTATTTTTTAAATATATTTTTTACCTAATGACACAAATTCCAAAGAGACTTGTTTGCCTGAGACCTAACATTCATAAGAACCTGCAACATGACAGTACGGTGTTGGCCCTGTCCCAACTGCACGAGGAGGCTGGCATCTGGGTGGTAGGCTGTGCCTGTGGTTCCTCAGCACCTGTCACCCTTGTCCCTTGTCTCAGCCCTCCTTGCCAGTGTCCCCAGAGTCCCTGAGGAAGGAGCCCAAGAGCTGTGGGCATTCTACTGCAACCAGCCACACCACCGCTCTGTGTGAGCTCCGGCTATGACATCCTGGGAGCCAGCATCCTTGCCTGCACAGAGCTCCCCTCCCGGGCCTCTTTCCACATCACTGCGTTTGCAGGTGGCTCAGCAAATGCCAGCCTGGAGTAAATGTCACAGGGCAGAGCCTTCCCGGTACCCTGGGCACACACTCCCCGCCTGCCTGCAGCCCGCCGGGCCCTCCAGAGAGCAAAGACAAGCAGATGAGGCGGCAGCCTGGGCCGGGCTCCTCTGCCCTGAAGCCCACATGGCTTGCTGGGGTTTGTTTAAAATTACCATCCCTGTCCAGGGGGAGAGGGGCAGAGCTGCGGAAGGGCCACCTCTGAATCATCTGTCTGATTAAAGATCACGGAAGCTGCGATGGAAAGCAGAGGCACCTGGGAGGGCAGGGCCCTCATGCAGGTTCACACACCTAGGGGCACTCGAGGCTGGGTCCTGGTACAGAGCTCTTCTCACAGAGACCCTGGGAGTGGGTGCCAGGGGTGTGGAGCTGACATCTGGGTCAGGAACAGAGCTGGGACACCACACAGAGTCCCGTGAAGGACATCCATCCTCTCCTCCCATCTTCCTGTCCTCAGCCTTCCCCCTGGCGGGCCATTCACCACGCAGACAGACAGGGTCACCAGCAGACCCCTGGCTCTTCACACAAAGCCCAGTGCTCCCCACTACCCCCAGCTCAGAGCCCTGGTCGCTTTGTGAATGCGTCCTGAAGACCAGGAGGGGAACTGTGGGGCTCTAATCCTCCGCTTTCTTCTCTTCCTCTACCATTACTGATTTCATTTAAACAAACAAAAACATTCCCATCCCATGGCGATTTCAAGGGTGAGGAAAGGGGCCAAGGGAAGCACGCGCCCCTGTTTGTAAGGACAGTGTCAAAGCAAGGTGCCAGATTCTCCCAGAGATGGGTGGTGTTGCCATGGCGAGCAAGAGAAATGCCCTCTCGGGGGCAGACAGCCCCTTGGCAGGGGCACCTGGAACGCATTCCCTCTGTGAGTGCCTACTGTGCACCCGGCCCTGCTGTGCCCAGCGTGGAAAGTCCCCACTTACCGCCACCTGTGTGGACTCCACCATGCCGCTCAGTCTCTGCTGCAGACAGGCTCCAGGCCCATTCCAGGGGCATGCATGAGGTCGAGATGTCCCCCCGCACCCCACCTGAAATGTTTATTTTCTTCTGTGACCCTGATCGTGTGTGTGTGTGTGTGTGTGTGTGTGTGTGTGTGTCAAAGACGCAAGAAACTCACCCAAACCTGGAAGGAGGCGAGAGATGCCTGGAGAAGTCTTGTGGGTGGCTCCTGGGGGACCTTCCTGTTCCTTCTGTCTGAAGTCCTTCAGCCTGACCAGCCTAGGCCACAGCCATGGTGGAAAAGGCCGGCTTTGTGGAGGGGCAGGGAGTCCGAATTATTGCAAGGTAAGAATGGGAAACACACAGATACACACACATGCACACACACGCATGGGCACAGAGCACATCTCACCTGCAGGCTGCTTTGCAGTGGTACGAGGTGGCCGTGTGGGACGAGTCGGGACAGGAAAAAGTGGCAACCCCAAAAGCAACACCAAGTGGTCGGCAGGGTGCCTGGAGGGGCTGAGCCTGGACTCTTGGGGACATGGGGGCGGGAATGGGCAGAGCATGGGTCTGGGTGCACCGAGGACCCTGGTCACAGGGATCCAGGACGCTGGGCCCACAGGAGGAGGCATCTGAGGAAGGTGGTGGCCTGTGGGACAAGGAGCCCATGGTACCGGGAACCCGTTAGAAATTGAGGCAGCCCTGAGAGAACTAGGGAGTTACGTCTGGACCTGGGAATGGAGGTGAGGGCTTGGCAAGGCCAGGGGCTGGGCAGGGCACACCCAGTGACTAAGGCAGATGGGCAAAAGCGCAGGCGGGCACAATGACCAGAGGCAGGAGCAGCGGAGGGCCAGGCAGGCGGGAGGAGCAGGTGAGCAGACGGCTAGAGGCAGGGCCTGCAGGTATACCAGGGCTTCCCTGCCATCTGTCCCTTGCTTGGGACACAGGCCCCAGCCAGCAAGGAGGGGCCAGGGGCTGGATTGGACCCCGGGGAGGAAAATGCTAAGGGAGGGTTCAAGCCACAGCCCCACCTCAGGAGGGAGACCTGTATGCCAACACCCGGGACCCACGGCCACCCCCCGTGCGCCAGGCCAGGAATCCAGGACAGCTGCCCACACTGGGCTGTGGGGCTCGGTGAAGGGACCCCGGGGACAGGCAGGCGTGCAGTTTGCGTGGAAGACCGACAGGCCAACCAGGCCACCCCGCACCCTCTTGCTGCCCACTCCAAAGCCGAAGCCCGCTGCTCCGGCACCTGGGACAACCCCCCAGCCGCCCTCCCTGGGAATCAGAAGCCATCAAGGGACACAATAGGTGGCAGGTGCCAAGCCCGGGGCCGGCGCCATGGGCACGCTCAGTTAGGATCAACTGTTGGCCGACAGAATGGACGCGCGGGTGAATGAGGGCCAGACTCACAGCCCCTCCAATCAGGGCGGGCAGACGGGGACCCCCCCCAGCCCCCACCCTGGTCCTCCGCTCACCTGGCCCACCTGCTGCTGTGGTTGCCGTCTCACCCGTCATTCACCCACCTGCCCAAACAGACGTCCCACATACTCTTACTGAGCCCCACTGTATGCCAGGCTGGTGCTGAGACACCGGGGATGGGGGGCTGGCCTAGTGCACCCCAAGAGGACCAAATCAGAATGGGAGGGAGAGGAAAAGAAAGGAGACTGAGGAAGCAAACAGTGCAGGAGGAGTGAAGCCAAAAAAAAACAGCAATTCTGAGAAAATTGATTTCCACCTGATCAGAGCTCCAGCCTCCTGCTATCTCTCCCCAGGACCCAGGGAGGGGAAGGTGGAGCTGTACCCACCTCTGGCACAGAGCACCTCAGAGGCTCTTGGGAATCAAGGACATGGTTCAGGCACAGCCTTGCACCCCGGGGAGCAGTTAGCTTAGAACCTGTGGCTTGAAAGGGAGCACCCAGGTAGGTTCCAAAGACCCCAGCATGCTGGGCATCATGGCCCACACCTGTGATCTCCAGCACTCAGGAGGCTGAGGCAGGAGGGTCACCATGAGTTTAAGGCCAGCCTGGGCTACATAGTGAGACTGTCTCAAGAAAAAAAAAAAAAAAAAAAAAGACCCAAGCACTTAAAGGAGTTGGGGCGTGGGGGCTGGAGACCCCGGGTCTCCACACCCTCCCAGCCTGAGACAACCCACAGGGCCACCAGAACATCCAGTAACTCTGGGGCCTGTGTTTTAATGCTGATATATAGCAGAGGGCAAGAAGGGGTGTGGATTACAATTTTTACTACTTAAAAAGTCCTCAGTCAGGTGTGGTAGTGGAAGCCTATAGTCTCAGCACTCAGGGAGGCTGAAGCAAGAGGATTGTAAATTTAAACTCAGCCTGGGCAACTTGGCACCTTAGGGAGACCCTGTCTCAAACTTTAAAGAAGCGCTAGGGATGCAGCTCAGCAGTAAGGACCTGGGTTTGACCCAGGTATCAAAAAGAAAACAAAATGTCACAAACTGCTGGTTCTACTCTCCAGGGGCTGCCTGGGGAAGGAGCTGGCTCAGTCACCTGAGCCCCACTTTCCCTGTCCAAGTCCCTAAATAAGTTTCCTAGATAAGGTGACCAGTCTCCCTTCCACAAAGGGGGGCAGGGGTCTACCTTGCCTTTCTGGGGGTGCGGCCAGGTCTACTGCTGCTAACAGGGAAAGAGCAACCAATTCTGACCCATGAACCCACAGAACCTTTAGCCAGGGGTCTCCTGAGGGAGAAAGGCCCCTCGAGTTTGCGACTAATAACATTTTCTGGCTCGGGCCACCTCCGTTCTCCTTTAGTTTTTTTCCACTTGGCTGAAGGTCTGGCAAGGGCCTAAGGTCTAATTGGACTTATCTAATCTTGATTGATATGCCCTGGGGTGAGAAATGTCCAGAACTGGGGACAGACAAGGGCGAGTCTCCTACTCAGGACAAATGAGTGGCCTCTAGGGAGTTCAAGGATGGGGGCTCGGGGATGCAGGACCTTGGGGTAGGGGGCCCCACCCAGGTTGTGGTGCTGGACTAGCACTCTGCCCTGAGCTGTGCCCCGGTCTCTTCAGGTTTGGGGTTTCATTTTTTGGTATTTTTGTTTATTTTGAGACAAGGTCTCACTATGTAGCTGGGGCTGACCTTGAACTCTCGATGTGGCCCAGGCTGGCCCTGAACTCCTGCTGATCCTACTGCCTCAGCCTCCAGAGTGCTCAGATTATGCCCAGCTCCACCAGGGTTTTAATCTCCCCCCAGCACTTGGTCACCCACCCTGACTACCTAGTGGCCCCCAAGTCCCAGTGTCATCGGGATGTGGCGCATTCTTCTGTGGCTGGGGGCGGGGGTGTCTCTGGACCAGCACGAAAGTGCACAGGCTGGAGGCAACCCCACTGGTGCCTGTGGCCTGGTGCTCTGCTGCCCTGTCTAGTCTGAGGCAGTGCCAAGTGCTCTTGGTGGGCCCTGGACCCGGTCGGGTGCATACTGGGTTTGGAAAACGATTCCCAAGCCTAAGCCCAAAGCCCAGCTCCCAGACAGCACCAGGGGAGCACGGCACGGGGCGGAACAAAGCGACGCCCTGCAGTGCCATCTGTCTTCAGCCCTGCTTTGCAACTTCCAATCCCACTCAATGGACCCGGAGCTGGGACCGAGGCGCAGACTCAAATGAGGGGGCAAGAGGACATCAGCTGCAGCCCCGAAATTAGAGGTGTGGCTCAAGAACCTTGCCCTGTGGACACTGGTTTGCCTCATTATGGTAATCAGTGTGTTTTCCCTTTGCAGACAAAGGAAGCTGTCCTTACGAGGCGAATATTGGAATCCAGCAGCTACCTCATTAGTGTCTGCGGCCTCTTGCTTAGACAAGGCCCAAGATTCGCCCTGCGTTCATTAAGGGACAAGTGTGGAAAGTGGAATAAAACTGAAACCCCCAGCCAGCTGGGGTGGAGATGCTTTTCTGCTGGCCATTCATTCCTGCTCAAACCTTGGGGCTTAATCACCTCCCGAGAGCGGGGCGGGTGGGAGGGAAAGAGGTTAAACTGGATGGAAGGAGTTAAAAACCCAAAATGGGGAGATTTGATTTGAAAGCCTGCTGGGATTTGTCACTGGGGTCATCAATTTAAAAGCTTCCTCCTGTTTTCTTTCTTCTAACCCAATGCAAACTAAGAGGAAAGCTTTCTCCGGATGAGATTTGGGTGGTTTTAATATTTTCTAAGTCTCCCCTTTCCTGCTTTTTTGGGTCTTTAATGCCTTTATTAAAGTATCCTTTTCTCTCTCTCCTCTACCCCTCCCTCCCTCTACGCTTCTTTATCCTGTCTTTGGTCCTCCCATGAGAACTGGTGAGAAAATTTAAGACCCCAATTGCATTTTCCCATGAATGCGTCATGACCTTCTCAAGCCCCTTCCCTGTAGTGTGTGGTGCTTACCTGTGTCAAAGGTTGTCGTACCTAGCCTGCCAGGTGAGACTGACAGGGCACTTGGGAGAGCTGATCTCTCCCACCGTCCAGGACTTGAACCCAGGCCAGCCAACTCCCGAGGGCTCCAGGCAACGCCACAAGAGGCAGCGGGCTCAGGAGCTGGGAGGTCTGGGTGTCAAGAGCTGGGTGGTGAGAGCAGGTGTCTCGGGGGAGTGTGTGTCCGTGGAGAAGTGAGCCGGAGCCGCAAAGTCACGTGACGAGGCACGCGGTGTGTGGTGTTGCGCTACAGAGACGTTACCTGGCCGCAGCCGCTGGGCGGAGCAGAGCGGGTCGGGAGGCATGGGTTGAAGAGGAGATGGAGGTGAGGGAGGAAAGCAGTGGAGACAGGCCTTTCGAGAAGCCGGGCTGCGGAGGAAAGAGAGAGACTGGAGTGGCCAGAAAGGGACAGGAGAGACCTGGAACTCCAGGCTTCGAGGAGAGCAGAGTCGGGGCAAGAAGGAGGCGAAGATGGAGGCGCATGTTGGAGATGGGTTCAGGTCTACGGTTGACTCTTAGGCAACGGGGACCCGGGAGCTGGGTCGGAGGAGCCACTTGACAGCCTCTGTGTCCCTGGGTGGTGCAGGCTGGTCCTGGGTCAGGACAGGGAGTTGTGAGGATCAAACGAACGGACAATCGCAAAGAGAGACATAGCACTCGCTCGGGCTGCTCACTGGGAGCAGACCTTCCCAACCCGCTGGACTCTCACGGGGCCCTGGATGGTCACCAGCCAGGAGTTACACATCCTGAACATGGAGGATGGAAAAACCACTGGGGAAGGCTCCTGCCAGTCTCCGAAGACAAAAGGTTCCCTCCTAATAAATAGCCTGAATTAACTCAGAGCAGGTCTCCCCCAACTTCGTTTGTTACCTTCTAAGCCATCCTTCCACCTCCATTTGCCACATAACCCAATCAGCCCCTTTCAGACTCGGGGCAGCTATTGTCCACACCAAGCTGGGTTTCTCTAAAGCGACCCAGAGTTGTTTTTGTCTTGTCTGGACAAAACTGGTTGGCTTACAAGGGGACCAAAGAAAGTCCTGGCCAAATGAGGACCCCAATTAGCTTGTGAGAGACTGTTTTCATTATCTTTGTATTCCATACCTAGCCTGGTACATGAGGCATATTGTCAGCATTTCAGAAAATGTTTGCCAAATTAACTCCACTTTTATTGATTCTGAAATTGATTTGTTGAGTGCAAACACCCAGAGAACCTACTGGGTGCTGACTGTGATTGGGAAAGGAGCAGAGGGCTGGACAGGGGACACCAAGGGGCAGCCTGGGGTTAAGTGTCCTGCACTCTCCACAGCAATTTACAAAGCACTTTCATTGGAATTACATCACATGGCCTTCAAAAGCGCCCTGTGGGGTAGATAAACCAGGGTTGGGTTTTTTGAGTTTTGTTTTTTTGTTTTCAATCCCCATTTAGACCATGAAATGAAAGGAAACTAAGGGTTGGAGAAGTTAAGCAACTTGTTGAAGGTTACATCATCATCAAAAGGTGAAGGCGGCACATGGAGAGGGCCTTGAGGCCACCCACACCCCTGAGACCACCCTGGGCAGCTGGGGTCTCAGAAGGCTGCTCCACTGTCATGTGTTTGATGGACAATAAAGAACTCCAGGCCAGGGGCACCAGGAGGGTCACAGGCAGCTTCAACAGCACCCAGGGCCCAATTCTCACCCCTTCTCTCATCAGCAATGAACAAAATACTCACATTCCTCCCTGCACATGTGAAGACCTACCCTGTAGGGTGGGGTCTCTCAAGGTAACTCTCCTCCTCTCACCTATCTTGTTTAAATTAAGCCAATCCAAACCAAATTCACCCAGGTCTGTCAGGAAGGCCTCCTTGTGGCACGTGGAGATGGTGTGTGAATCGTGAATTTGTGTCATATAGAAAGTGCTCTGAAAATTACCATGTGCATAATTCATGTCCTTACTCAAGTCTGCCCTCTTGCCAGTGTCTCTTGTGTCGCCCCTGCCTGGTACAAGGAGAGCCCCATGATAGGGGCTGTCAGGGTCTGTGGGAGAATAAATAAGACAAATAACACAGAGCCAGATGGGACAGGACAAAGCTGGCAGACTATTCAACAAACATTTGCTGACTGCCTCCTCTATGCCCGCCTCGACCTGGGCTGCTTTAGCTCATTTAATTCTCACAACCACCTAGGAGGTTGCCCGGCATCCCTACTCCCCGAGAAAGGGCAGGAGGGGTCCTGGGAGAAGTGGGCCTGCCATTGGCAGTTAGTCGCATGCTCATTCCAGAAGCCTGCCCAGGGCCCTGGAGTTGCCCTTGGCCCAGGTCCCCCTCCTGAGACATTCCCAAAGGGACCCCTCCACCTGGAAGGTGTGTGATGTCACAGCCAGTCAGGGAAGACTGACACCCCTGGGGGAGGGAAGCACCAGTTGCCTGGCAGGCGAACACAAGCAGAGACACACAGGACAGGAGGCACAAGTCAAGCGATAGGCAGGGTGCAGGTCGGAGGGAAAGGCCCAGAGCCCCCTCACTAGGGCCCTGGTTTAAGTCTTCAGCCTGAGGGACAGCTGTTGGCCAGTTCTAGGCAGCTTCCTGCTGTCCTTCCAGGGGTGGGTCCTGGGGGTCTGCTGGTGGCTGCTTGGAAGGCTGGAGGGGTCCAGGAAACCATGCTTTTGGCCCCATATCCAAACAAGGACCTGTATAAAAGCCAAGGCAACGTATTAGTTACAATTTAAGTTCATTAATAACAGTTAAAACTCATTAGCTAACAATTAATTGTCTTTAACAGCAAACGGGTCTGGGGGTGGCAGAGAAAGGATGGCAGGATCCGAGTTCACCCACCATGTTGCATACAAGACCCGAGAGGTGGGGGCTGAGGTACCGTGAGGACAAGGTGGGCAGCAGGTATCTGGCAGCAGCTTGGCATCCAGGGGAGGGGTCCTTGAGGACGGGGGCGAGTCCACCACGTCATCCCTGAAGAGACACCCTATGGCATGGGAAGGGGCCCAATTAGAACCATCTTGATGACCTCTAATGGCCAGAACAGGAACCGCAGAGAAAGGGAGGGGGCAGCAGGAGGGAAAGGGAGGAAAGGGAGGAGGGAGGAGGACAAGCGAGGGGGGTGGGAGGGGAGAGAGGGATGAGGAACATGAAAGGGGAGGGGGGAAGATAAGAGGAGCACTGTGAGGGCAGGGGAGGAGGGAGAGAACTAGGAGGGAGGAGGAAGAGGAGAACTGGGAGGGGAAGAGCAATGGGAGGGGGTAAAGATAACTTGATTGACAGGGCACAAGTGTTAGCTGAGCTCCTCAAAGCCCAAATTAGCGGGCCAGGAACCACTTGCATGAACACACCACTAGGGGACGCACAGCCAGCACCCAAGTCCGACCAACAGCGCAACCACCTGCGGCACCCCGCCCGCGTCAGAGCGCAGCTGCCAGGCCCAGGATGGCGAGAGTGGGCGCGGGGGGCCCAACAGGTCTCAGGCCCGTTGCTCACATCCCACCCGGCCCCTCGCAAAGAACCGCTGTGTCTCCAGATGGCCTCGCCAGCTGCCACCAGCCAGGGCGCACCGATGACATAGGGCTGCGCCCCCCACGCAGGCCCCCGGGCTCGCCTCGCACCAGAGACCTAGGACAGCAAGAAGCCCCGCCACCGGGCTTTTCCCAGAGCATGGTTCCATCTGCGATAAGCAAAACCAGACACCTTCGGCAAATCCAATTAAACATAAATTAATTACCATGTAAAAGGGCCAGTTCTCAGTACACCATTTTGGCTCGTTTTTTTAAGGTCTCAGGACACACGATACAGAATAAAACAGACAGACTCCCCTGGTCCCCCCCCTTCGCCTCCAAGCTTCGTCACCCCCACCCCCCAATCTCACCTCCTATGCCACAGACTCAAGACCCTTGCCGAGACACCCATCACCCTATTCCAGCCTCATCCTGCTGTCCACAAGAGCCACACCTTCAGAGAGCCCGAAACCAAAAGCCCCTGAAATAAACTAATTGCGTCCACGCACTCCCACGACACCCCAACACGCACAACCAAAGCAGATGACGCATCTCTGCCACAGCGAATCCTGCAAACGCTACCCAGCAAATCCGAAGATCACAACCCGGCTCCCCCTTAGGTAAGTGAACCCAGAATCCGCCCCCTCAGTCAACTCCGCGCAGACCCCTCCAGGAGAAGAACAAAGGCCACCTCCCCTCCCCACCCCGCCCCCCAAAATTCCGCAGTGCCACCAGCGCCCTCTTGCGGCCAACAAGAAAACCTTCACGAAACCTGCCACGTAGCAGCCCTCTTGCGCCCCCACCCCAGGCCGGCCAGCCCAAGCTGGGGAGGGGGCAGCTTGGGGGGGCTTGACAGGGACAAAGAACGTGGCAAAAGGCGATTTTACCAAAAATCGAAAGCCCGTAACATGTCAGAAACGTCCAACGACCACCATGAGCAAAGCTGATGAGACACCCTGTCCCCCCAACTCTCAGCTCCCAGACCCCTCTCAACACACCCCCTTTTCAACATTTCTCATCCTTCCCGAACCTCACAACACGGCTCAAGTCCTGTTTTCATCCCACCTGTGCCCCCAACCCCTTGGTCCTCCGCTGGACCTCCCCTCCCTGCCGAAGCGGTCCCCGCCGAGCAGGTCCTGGGGGACAGGTTCGCGCTTGGGCACGCGTCTCCCCACGAGCTCGGGGTGCATCTGTCCTCCTCGGAGGGCCCAGACTGCACATTTCACTGTTTTGTCCAGAGCCCACTCGGCACTAGACCTCGGCACTGGGATCCAGAATCCTGGTGGACAGGAACCTCCACCTCTCACGCCCACGGTCCGCCAAACCTGCTGACGGCTAGGGGAACTACCCCGACACCCCTGTCCTGGGTGCTCCCCCAATCCCGGGCATCCACCCTGCATCATCGCCATATCTCCCGCTGTTATCGTGATCCTAGCGGTGGCTTCGAACCCAAAAAGTCGGGGTTTTGGACCCCGATGTCTACGAGGGGCTTGGGTCTGATTCCTCCCGGTCTCCTTCATCGGAGTTCCCGCCTCCCCGCCTGTCCTCTAGGACGGTATTGGTCCAGAAAAGGTCCCTGCTGTCCCCCCAATCTCCCCCCGGGCAGGAAATGTGCCTGGAGATTCCCCTCCTGACAGGATTTCGTGTCCTGATGCTCAGGGACCAAGGCGAAGCAGAGGCCACCTTATTCAGAGACATCCCCGGGTCGGTAGGCATCGTGTCCAGGAGGACAGAGCCCAGCCCGGTGGAGATGTCATCCTCTTTCTGCACATCCTCGGCGGCGGCGAGGACGGCCGACCACTCACCAGGTGCGGAACTCCTGCGTGGGCACCCCGCTCTTCGGAGGAGCTGGCCAGGGCAGCTAAGCCGAGGCGCGCGCTCCTCTGCAGCTCGCCCGCCCTAGGGGCTGGCTGGGTGGGGCTTATATGGAGGCGCAGAGGGGGTGGTCTCTGACGTCAGCGCATTCTGCTGCAATACGCTCATTTCTCTAAAAGTGATTGGCCGGAAAAATGAGCCCCCCAGATTCTATGACAAATTGCTCTAGCCGCACCCAGATTGCAGCAAAGAACGGAGGAAAAAAATCTGCCGCAGTGCCCCTGGCCGCCATGACCAACACCCTGTGGTCGCTGGTGTTTTTCCCTCCATGAGCCCTGGTCGGAGGACTGAGGGCGATGTGTGTGCATGATCTGTGGGAAATCACCCCGAAGGGAGGGTGGTCCTGAGGGGGGCTGAGAGTGAAAGGTGGGATGCCCGGGAGGGGGGTGGCAACTGCAACCTCGCTGCCTCAGAGCGCTGCGCAGAGGATGCGGATGGACTGAAGGGAAGAATATGATGCTTTCTGCTTATTGTTCTGGAAAATAAGAAGCCCCGGGGCGAGAGAACTGGCTCCCAGATGTCGGCCTGAGGCCAGCGACCCGCTAGCCCACCCTGCTTCTGACGAGGGTGCTTGGATACAAGCGAAGCACTACAGCATCCTGGAATCGGGAACCAGGCTGGGAGTCCCGGGCTGTGCCATTTACAACCTGTGTACCCAGAGCCCAGAAAACCTCTTGGGCTCTTCCCGGCACTACAAGCTGGTGTTTCCACTCAGTAAGGGGTACTGAGTCTCCCCAAACGGAGACTTTCGGAAGTAGAGTGTAGATATGAGCCGCGTCAACCCAGGAAAAGTACTTTTCCAGTGAGGATGGGGTCCTCTATGAAGACGCCCAGAGCACCCCTCTCAAATCGGGGTGACTAGCCGGGAGTCGTGGCCCACGCCTGTAATCCCAGCACTTGGGAGGCTGCGGCAGGAGGATCGATGTGAGTTCGAGACCAGCCTGGGTTACATAGTGAGTTCCAGGTCAGTCTCAACTACATAGTGAGACCCTGTCTCCAAAAAACAAAACAAAACAAAACAAAAAAACCCAAATCGGGGTGACTGCCACACACATACACTTTGAAAGAGCACCCCCGCCCTGCCGCTGCTGCGACCGCCGCTGCGCACCAGGAAAACAGGCAGTGACACATGTTGCTGCTGCCCTAACTGCACAGCCTTGGGGACTTGGCACACGAGAGTTAACAGGTGGCCCTGGGGCAGTTCTGCCAGGCCCCGAGTGGCACAGGAACGATGCCTTCGATCAGATGTCCCCTGCTAAGGTCAGAATCCTGTTGAAAGGGACTAAGGATCTATCTTAGGGTGACAGGTGGGCGGCAGCCGGTGGGAAGGAAGGAGCATCTGATTATAGAAAAGGGGTGGGAACGCCGTGGACCCCAAAGGAGAAAGCTGAGGAGCCCCCCACCCCGTATCAAATTAGAAAGCCCCCACACACACTTCGTGGGGGTTTCAGGCAGCTTCGAGCCAGACCCCCATGCCTAGCGATGCTGGGCGGTGACGTCATACAGATAAGAGATCCCGGGGCGGGGCAGAAAGGAAGGGAGAGAGACAACTTCTAAACTGGCCGGGAAGTGGAAGGTGACCATAAAATCTCCAGAGGCTCGGAGTCGGGACAGAGGGCGCCTTCCCACATGATCTGGCATGAAGATGTGAGATCCTGGAGGACATCACAGGGAGCTGCTTGATAACGGGGGCGGGGGCTCTCCCTTTACAGCCTGTGGAGCATACAAGGAGCCCCAGAGACTAGAGCTCCAGTCACAGCATTTGCAGAGGTAGAAAGGCCCAAACCAGCCGCAGATATCAAGAAACCTTCAAAAAATCATGGCTCCGAGAACCCCAGTCAACAGCAGAACGTTTATTAGCCACGGTATTAATAGCTAGGAAACAGCCAGAGCTGGCCGGGGCCAATCAGCAGCAAGAAGCCCCTGTCGTCAAGCCCCAGCGGCCAATCAGACATCAGCAGGCCCAGTTGCTAGCCTCTGGGGGCAGAGGCGAGGGGTGCGCTTTGTCAAGGGGGCTCCGTGTTCGGGCTCCGCTGGTGGGAGCAGAGGCGGCCACCAGAGAGCATCAGTAGACACGCACTTGGGGTCCTGGAGGTGGTTTTAGAGCCCGCGCCTTGTGCGTCAGCCCTGAAACCCAAAAGTGGCATGCGTCAATGCTCTGATGAGCACCCCAGGCCTCAGTTGGGGCGACCTTGTGGGGCCTAAGAAAGAGGAACCTTTCCATACCCAATGGCCAGTGTCTCCCCTCAAGGCCTGGCACCCAAGGGGAAAGCTGGGCCTCCCCGGGGCAAGGTGGGCCTCCCTGCTGACTGAGGGCACCCTGGTTCCCAAGCCTGCTGTGTAAACTCAACGGCAACCCCACCCCTTGGCCTCCCCACTTTACTGACAGCCCAGTGTGGAAGACCCTCCTGGAAAGCACACAACTCTGAGGAAAGCTCTGCGGATTTGAATCTCAGCTCTGTTCCCTCCTCTCTGGGAGGCTGAGGTCCAGGCCCTTCCCCTCTCTGGACCCCTATTTCCTCATCTGGAAAAAGGAAAGAGTTGGACCAGAGGGTCCCCAAGGAGCCGTCCAGTGCTGCTTTGCTTGATTTGAATGTATACATCAGGCGAGTCAAATGTCTTCCAGAACATTCTGGATGACAGTAATTAGTATCAGGTGTATCCTGCAGTCCATGTGGTTATTTCATCATGCTGCTTTTCTTTCCATTGTATTTTATTTTAAACAGAACTCCATGGCAACATGTTTATCCTTCTGGCTTCCTAAAAGAAAGAGAAAGATAGAGAGGAAGAAAAAGAAAAAGGAAAAAGAAAAGACTGCTGTAAACTAATCTCCACTGAGAATGGTTTAAGCACAATAAGAAAAAAAATCCATGCATTTAAATGTTTTTGTTGGATTTTCTGGAGCTCAGAACCTGACTTTGGAAATATTTATTGGTCCAAAGGAAATGGAAGAAGTTCTCCAAGAAGTCAAGCCCTATGGTAAAGGTTGGGTCTGACCACTGCTCACTCTGGGCAGTGCTGGGCCAAGCTTTCCCTGCTCCAGCAGGACATGGGGGAGCTGAGATTTGTATCTACAGGGGAAAACAGACACGGAAATCCAGGCTCAGCTTGAGCCGCAGAGCACTTTGTCTGCGTGCGTGCGTGCTGAGACCCAGCTCCGCCGGCCTGGAGGGTAGCCAGTTCCCAGACTCCGGCTTAGCTGCTGCTGCTGCTGCTTATCCTTCTCCTTCTTCCATGTAGATCTAACTCAAAGCACACATTTTTTTTTTCTTCTTCTTCTTTTCTTTTGACTCATACTTGAGAATCCTTAAAAGCCGTGTGAACATTCTCCTATCCACACATACGTACTTGCAGGCAAGACTACAAACATCCTAAGCCTTCAGCCAGGAAGTGAACACAAGGTTCTCTTTTTTATCTACCAGGCATGGGTAAATATTCTTTCTTCTCAAAATCCCTCCTAAGGCTATTGCAAAACAGCAGACCCCAGTGGAGGGCTGGCCCCTCTGAGCAACCTTCTGGGAATTCCAGGTCCCCTAAATGTTAGTGTCCCCAGGCCTTTGCCACCCTGACCGCTGCCACTTTAGCTACAGGCTGTGCTGGTTTGGTCCTAACCTAGCTCCCATTCCAGCCTCTGGCAGTTTGAGTCCCCCAAAGTCTTAGGCCCCTGGCCCCCTCCCATCGCCCCACCAAACTCTCCAAAGTCAGAGTAGCTCTGGACTCACTGAGGGTGTTTGTTTGTTTGTAGGGCTGGAGCTTGGCATTGCCAGCTACACCCTCTGTGCTTCCCAAAAGATGCAGGACCTGAGTACTGAGGGGTTAGAGGAAGGAAGCGTGGCTCAAACAGCATCAGTCTTCGGGGCCTAAGTGAAAAGTGAAGTCCAGTGTCCTTCACAGCAGGCTGTGGGTACAGCTTACTTCCCAGGGCACTCCTTCGATTGAGGCAGCATGCATGTGTGTTTGAGTTTGCCCAGCCACAGCCACTGCCACTGGCCAGTAGTCATCCAGGAGCACGTGCCAATAGCCAGCTCCTTTCCTCCTTGGTGCTCTGGGGCACACATGCTGGGGACAGGGTGGCACTGCTCTGATGGAATAGTCTCTGAATGAAGATCAGTGAAAACCAGCCGGAGGCCTGTACTCCCCGAATGGTCCCATTGCTTGTTCGGTCTTTCTACTTTATGACTTTCTACGCTGGCAAGCACGGCTTTGATATTGTGTATCTTTTAAATGCAGCAGCACAACAAGGCTGTCCATTTTAGCCTTTTCCTTAGAAACCTCAAATATAAGCTCTTTTTCAAATATATAAATAAAAACGAGACACAGGATCCATTGCCTGCATGGTGTGGGACACCTCCTGAACCCATGGGCAGTAGGCATTCATGGGCAGCCAGGCAGCTGTGCCAGGCTTCCTCAAGAGCTCCCTTGAAGCCCACACAGAGTGACATGGTTTTGTTCCCATGGGAAGGACCTAGGGAAACCTCCTCCCTAGCTTTTTAGGCATGGGGGCTTAGTGAGGCTGCCACTGCCGTGTGTTGGTCTTCAGAAGTCACATCTTGATATGAGGCAAAGGTGGCCGTGTTGCCCCATTCTCCCCCACTCCGTCCCCCCTGGTTTTGGGCTCGGGCCAGACCCGGATCCAGGCAAGGGGTTTTTTTGGCCCAACTCCATGGAAATATTTTTTTCAGTGCAGCAAAGAACTGCTTCATTCAGCTGCCTGCGGCTAGGGAGGGGGTGGCTTTCGCTGTGTTGACATAGAGCAGGAGGCCTGGGGAGGGACCCAGAGGAGAAAATGTATTCCAGGTAGAACAGGACTGGAAAGTTTGCTTCTTTCTTTCTTTCCTTTTTTTTTTTTTAACTAAAACATTGCTGACAGTTGCAAAACCTCCACCCCACCTCATAAGCTCCAGGAGAAGATATTTCAGCAGCAAGGTCTAGAAATATCTTGGTGCGAGAAGGAAGGGGCCAGGGCGGCCAGTCATGTGGTAGAGACCTGGGGGCTAGAGTGGCCTCCCTGGCCAGGACTCTGAGCTGATCAAGCTGCCAGCTCCGTAGTGG